ATATTATTATCGATTTTCCTACCCGTTTATCTCCTAGATATCTTATATATAAAAGAAAGAAACGCTAGGGCAACCCTAATGTCATATTTGTAAAATGTTTTCAATTTTTATCAAATTTTTATCCCCTTAATATTAATTTAAATATTATTTTCGAATTTTATCATATTTGTAGCCCCTAAATATTATTTTAAATATTATTTTTTATTTTTTATCAGATTTTTGTCTACTAAATATTATTTTTTATTTTTATCAAATTTTTATCTCCTAAATATTATTATAAATAATATTTTTTTAATTTTATCAAATTTATATCGCCTCACTATAATTTTAAATATAATTTTCAACTTTTAGCAGATTTTTATCTCCTAAATATTATTTTCGAATTTTATCAAATTTATATCTCCTAAATAATATTTTAAATATTTTTTTCGAGTTTTATCATGTTTTTATTAGTTTTTTATCTCCTAAATATTATTTTCGTTTTTTATCAGATTATTGTGTCCTAAACATTATTTTCGATTTTTATCAAATTTTTATCTCCTAAATATTATTCTAATTATTATTTTCATATTTTATCAACTTTTATCTCATTAACATTATTTGAAATATTATTTTCGATTTTTTATCAAATTTTTATCTCCTTCCTATTATTTTAAATTTTATTTTCAATTTTTATCAGATTTTTATCTCCTAAATATTAGTTTTTGATTTTTTTATCAAATTTTTATCTCCTAAATATTATTTTAAATATTATTATCGATTTTCATCAAATTCTCCTAGATATTATTTATAATAATCTGATTTTCAATTTTTACAGAAAAGGGTAAATAAATCTGATTTTCATCCCTAGCGGATTTTGTAACATCGTTTTACAGAATGTCCGCAACATTTGAATTTTATGTCTTCCCTACCTAAGACTTCTTCTTTTGGTAAGCCGACTTTAGATTTTGTTTCTTATATTCTTCTTCATCCTATTGACTGTGTGGCAATTAGTTTGTTGTTTATATTCTTACAACATCAAAACAATGTAATTTGTTGTCCCGTGCATCGCACGGGTACAATTACTAGTTTGATATAAAAATTTAATTTAATCTTACCCTAAGTAAATATTACTATTGCATATAGTCGCTGCTTTTTCCTTATCCTATATTTTGCCCTCTCTTTAGGAGTGTGCTACCGAGAGAGAAAAGTGGACTGGTTGGTGGGCTTGAACCGAAAAAAAAGAAAAAAGCTGGTTGGTGAGCTTTTATAATGGACCCAATCTCTGGCCCTTTGTTGTATGATTTAGAACCACTAAAATCTAAAGCATCCGGTTCATTGTAGATGCTCAAGTCACATAAGGTGATGCCAAATTGCCAATGACAATGGCACAATAGTAGATATAATCACGTCTATGAGATGTTACACTTAGGGTTGTTCATGGGTCGGTTTTACACGACAACCGACCCATTATCGGCCCGACTATTGCGGCCGATAATTATCCATCAACCGACCCGTTCTGGTCGAGCCGATAATATCAACCGACCCATGCATAGTCGGGTCGGTTATGGTTTCTGAAATATTGAAAAGTCGGTTGGCCGATATTACCCGACCAACCGACTTTTATTTTTATATTATTTTTTTTTTCTAGCATTTTGACCCTACATTTAATTTTTGGGTAATAATGTTTGAGTTTTTGGGAGATGCTAATATTTAGAATGTGTTATTGTATTTGAAGTAGTTGAATCATTGAATCAGACCTTTTTTTTTCAAAAAATTAGAATCTCATTGATTGTCCAGGAAGAATTCTCGTTCTTTTTTTTTTTTTTCTTTTTTTTTTTGTATATCTCACATTAAACAAAGATCAAGCCAAACGAGAAGAAACAAGCCAGAATATATCTATAACATAAATATGTGGGATTCTTTATATTTGTTAGAATACTATTTATGAGTTAAAAAAAAATGAAATTTTTCTCGAGAATTACTTAATGAGAATAGTATTTTGTTTCCTCATAAATTGAAAATCTGATTTTTTTTTTTTAATGTGGCCGATATCGGCCGATAATTTGCAACCGAACTTTTTCGGCAACCGACAAAGTCAGTTGCCAACCGTTACCCGACCCACAATAGTCGGGCCGATAATAGTTTTGCATATTTGCAATAGTCGGTTGGTCGGGTCGGGCCGATAATCGGCCGATATTCAACCGACCCGACCCATGAACAACCCTAATTACACTCGATGAAATATAATGAGTAATTTTAAACCATAAATCTATACAAATAACTACATATTAAATACATATAGACATAAGTGTGTGTTATTACGTGTAAACCTACGATTTAAAATCAGTCAGTATATTTCACCGAGTGTAAACATCTAATAAAACATCGTATACATAGGGTCGGACGTTTTTGTTTACTTATATCGAATCAAATTAAATTGGGTTGTGATAATTAATCCCCATATAAATCGAAATTTTGAAGAAAAAAATTATAAGAATTATTATACAACCGATGAGGTGATCCTAAAATAGTAAAATTCGAGCCACTAGCATAATAAACAAAATCGATTAATTTCGTGGGCCTAAGCCTAATAATATAATTTCAACCCACATTTATTATGCTTCACTAGAGGCCCAAGATATGCACTAAATTTCATCGATTAATTTTGATCTCACGTATAAATAGGACTTAATTGTCATTAATAAAGGTTTGCATATTCTAATTTAGGGCAAACTACGGTCACCGTGAGGTTGCCAAATTAAAAAAAGAAAAATCTTATTGTTTGTGTAATTACAACCACGTTCCTCTTTTTAATGGTTTTACATAAAATTTATGTAATTCGGTTATTTATCGCGAACCAAATCGTAAAATAGGAGGGGGTTCTTGTAATTTGGCCATAAGTCAGAGGTGGCCGTGCCAGAAAGGTTCCGGATATCGATCCACAGGGACCTAATTTATCTTATGAAAAGGAAATGGTACATTTTGCCATGGGTATAGAACTTACGGGGTCGATTTAGTAATTAATAAACCCTAGTGGTACTCAAGAGCAAATATCTTATATCCCACTACTAATTATAAATTCCCAAATCCCAGCACTCCGAAGCCCTAGCTCCCACCACTCCCATCTCTGCAGCTCCACAGCAACCAGCGCCGCCGCAAAACAAGAGCAACCACCGCGAAAATGGGTCGCGTACGCACAAAGACGGTGAAAAAATCCTCCCGCCAGGTAATCGAGAGGCACTACTCGAAGATGACGATGGACTTCCACACCAACAAGAAGATTCTAGACGAGGTATCCACAATCCCCACGAAGCGCCTCCGCAACAAGATCGCCGGATTCTCGACCCATCTGATGAAGCGGATCCAAAAGGGACCCGTTCGCGGCATCTCCCTCAAGCTCCAGGAGGAGGAGCGCGAGCGCCGCATGGACTTCGTCCCCGACGAGTCCGCCATTAGGGTTGACCGCATCGAGGTTGACCAGGAGACCGTCGACTTGTTGGAGTCCCTCGGCATGAAGGACCTGCCAGGTGTCGTCCTCAGAGAGGACCACGGCCCCATCGGTGCTGCGCCGCCCGTCAACTACGGCCGCGGTAGCGGCCCTAGGCGGTATTGAGAAAGATGAGTTTTTTTTTTTTTTTAATTTTTTTTAAAGGTTAATATGCTGTTTTGGGTTTTTAATTTTAGTTTTGATGGGGAATTATAAATTGTGTTGCATTTTTTAGAAATTTGAGACTAATGATTAATGTGTTCGAAAAAAAAGTTTTTATTTTATTTTATTGTGATTGATTTTTGGTTGAGTATGCAATTATGCAGATCATGCTTTGGTTGGGTTTCTAATTAAGTAGTTTAATTTGATATTGATGTTAACTTAAATTAATTACATTGTCGAAATTTGTGTCGCTCGATGCGTGTACTGCTTGCTCTGTTCTTGTGTTGATTGGTTTCTATTGTTGAATGTGTATTTTGTGCTGGAATTATTGTTTTAGTGAAGTTGTACTCTTGGAAATTACTTAGTATGTGAGGTTTGGTTTCGATTATGCCGACCCCCGTTTATCTGTTTAATAGGTTAACCGAATGCGATTCGTTGTATTGTTGTAGTGAAACTAGTGTGATTGGAGTTCATTTATAATCTATTTCTTGTTTGCTTTGTCTGCTGGTTTTGTGTTCTGTAATTACAAACCCCGTTACCCGCGATTCAAACCAGCCCCGAATGAAAAAATTAAAAATCTTAAAACCATTATCTGTTCGAAAAGCATTTATCTTATACAGATCCATTTCTCGTCGTACTCTTATCCCCTGTTTCGACCTCGTTCTATAGATACTTTAATATGTATGACTGATTGTAATCGATTTTGTGGTTGCTGGTTTTTGTTTCTACAGTTTGTAACTGTACTAACTTCTAATATGTAGTGTATGGATTTGTGCAAGTGCTGCAAGAAATGCTGAGATATTATTATAGAGAGCCTTGTTTTGTTAGTAAGATTAGGGACTCGTTCGATTACCTATATTGGATTAGATTGGATTAACTTCCTACTGGCTAATTTTTTAGTTAGTAGCATGTTTGGTTTCTTAGATTAGATCTTCTATTAAATTTGTTAAATTCATTTATTATATATGAATTGTTTATTAAACCACTTAGTTAGGGTGCTATTAATTTAATGCAATAGTAACATTTAATAGCGATATTTGATTTTAGTAGCGGGTTTGAAAAAGTGTGAATCTTGTGAACCGGATGTGTTATTAGCCCATACTATTTAGTCAGTAGAACATTATAGCGGTAACCGAATGAACATTAGATATGTAACTTAATTAAGTTAAAAAAGATATGATTAATTCGATATGTCATATAGACCCAATAAATTTTGGAGCTGAGAATAAAAGTAATATGACCCAATATTGGGCCACGATTGATCGTGTCAATACAAAACAAGAGATTGAGTTTTGGACTGAATCTGAAATCCAATGGGCCATATTTATCACACTTCAAGTCAAAATGTATGTCTTTGAAAATTAGCATATACAATATATGCATGCATAATATAATTCATGGAAGATAGTTTTTTGTACACAAATATAACGAGGAAAACACTTTTTCTTAACGTTGTTAGTTCTAAAGATTGAGATATTTCTCTCGAAGATATTAAGGAGATCTATCTCGAACAGATCTAGAAACTCAACGTGTCAACTTGACTCTTCTTCCCACACACGTTGCGATTTGATGGTGCAAAGTTTGCACACTCAAGACCTTTCCTCGAACCTAACTCATTCGACCGTTGAAAAAGCTCACCTATCTCTGGATTTAGAGCTTACAAACGTGAAGATAGCAAAGAGAGAGAAATTCGAGATAAAGTATAAGATGTGTTATTGATTGTATAATAACGTTGTGATTGTGCTAAAAAACTTAACCTAGCCCGGTTGTTATAAGATTTGATCTTGATTACACAATTGTAGCATGAGATATTTCAATCACTTAATCTATATATAGAGAAAATTCTCAGATTAAGCCTTCCCATAATCTTGAAGTCAGCTCGTCACCTCTCTTTCTTATTCCTATTGAACATATCAATAACAATTTGCCAAGGTCAATGGTCTTGAACTCTCAGTTCATCGAGCGCCGTATGACCTTTGTTAGGTGAACTTTCGACTTACTGAGCTCTAGCACTGAGCTCTAGCACTTGGCCTACTATGATCCTTGTGATTTATTGGGCCTTCATCCCATTAATCTAAATGTGGGGAGTTCGTCCCATTAGTGTCGAACTGACCCCTATCAAGTCTCGTTTAAGAATAAGAAAAACAAAAGACATACAATACATATTTAATTGAAAAGAAATGTGTGTGTGGGGGAGAGAGAGAGAGAGAGAGAGAGAGAGAGAGAGAGAGAGAGAGAGAGAGAGAGAGAGAGAGAGAGAGAGAGAGATGGGCTGATGTCATATGAAGTACCACTAGTGTTTTTGGGCTCTACAAAAAATTGAGACAAATTGGTCTCGAAACAGTTGGTTTGCTATTTTGAATATGATCACTACAACAATATATTTAATAGTGGGAGCTTATTTTTATTGATTTTTTTTTCTTTCAAGTTGTCTTTACTGTAATAAATTGGAAAAACTTGGCTAATGATGCGACAATATTTGACTTTTTTTTTTCTTCTCAATTCTTTTTGCTTATTATAAGTGGATTGTGGTATTTGTTAATTCAAGCTTCTATGTATACAACACATAAGATAGTGTACCGTGACGACATTTAGTAATTTAATTAACTTATATATATACTTGGGAGTTTTGACTTTTACATACAATGGATCTGGCAAAAAAAAAAATTAAAAAAAAAAAAAAAACACAAATATATATATAGTAAATGTTAAGGTGTTTATAATTTTAATGGGGGCATTAAAAGCATTCATAGGAAAATGCAACAATAAATTAACTACATATGGGATTGGCTTTTAAAAACCTACATTTAAATCCCAATTTATAAGTAGTGCAGAACAAAAATTAAATGAATCGTCACATAATAAAATAATAATAATAGGTGACAACTGTAGAAACTGGAAAAAAAAAATAAAAAAAATTGAATGTTCTTCAATATATTGAATTTTCTCATAAGTGCCATCGAGGTCTATATGCCTAGTTCAACACCAAATTAAATTCCAATTTATTTTGTTATATATATGTATATAGAAAATGGTAATTAATTTGATTGAAGAGAAAGGGGTTGTAATTATATATGTAGGGTACATTTTTTTTAAATGCAGCTGTACGCAATGGCATGAATGAAGGGAAGCTGAGATTTAATTCAACTTTCATAAATTGGATATTACCACTTGATGGCTACTCTTTTTCTTCAATATGTGTAACATTCTGATCCTTGTACTATTGTTTTTTAATTGAATCATTTATCAAATTGGTCTACCTCAAATTATTGCACCAATTGATTGTTTCGAGTTTCGACTACCTAATAAAATTTTAAATATTTTCTTTCATTTATATTATGTAAAATCGTAAGGATCCACGACACATAATGATATTGATATATATTTATAAGTGTAATTTTCGTAAGGAAAAAAAAAAATCGAAACTTTTAGAAATATTATCAGAAATTAAAATCCGATCGAATATTGGAATATAAAACACAATTCCATTAAAAAAAATTGGAAAATTTAAAAATTAAAACTTCTGGAATTCGCAATTCGGAATTCGTAATGGAAAATATTGTTCCATAATGGAAAATACTCGAATGGAGATCGGCAGATTTCAGAAATTGATTATATTCATTGGACAATTTCGAAAAACAATTAATAATATTGGAAGTATTTAGTAGATAATTATATATGAACCCCTGTATTTTCACCAGAAGATTTGTACAACATTTATGCTTGTGCTTTTATTACAATTCCAAAAGTGTGCATAAAATGAGTTAATGACCAATAAATTCTCAAAAGAAAATTTAGAAGGATCCAATCATATCAGTTTTGTGGACCTCTGTACCACCAAACCCATCTATCTATATGAAATTAATTTTATAGGAAAAGATATTATGAAACAGTAATATTTAATAATTGTGTCTGCCTATATAAATAAATTTATTTACAACTTTGTATCATATATTTCAAATTTGTCAAATATTAGACAACAATTTCTATTTCATTGAAAAGTTCTTGAAATAATTGGATTAAACTTTTTATTTACGGGTAGGGGTAATTCAAAGATTTTATATTTTATAGGGAGTCAAAAGTAATATTTTCATTCATCGTGATTTAATTATTATGTTTTTATTTTAGGGTAATTATTTTTTTTACCCATCTTTTCCAAGTAATTATTCTAGTAACATTATATAAATGGGTAATTTGCCTCCACCTCTTTTAAATTATGGTCATTTGGCAAGAACACCACTATACTAGGGGATTTGGAATTAGATCCCAACGCATTCATAATTATTAAAAGGGTAAATTACAAACACCCCCTGAGGTATGGTCAAATTACAAAAACACCCCTCTTGTTTGGATAATTACATCTACCCCTCAACTATGATTTTTTCTTACACCTCCACCCTTATGGTGCCAAATTCAACATAATCATCTAGATTCCGTGAAATGTGTTCTAGTTTGTACTCGTTTTGTGTAAAAATACAGTTTCCGATGCACCACAAACTGATATATACAAGCTAAAAATCACATATTATGATCATCTTGATTCATAATGTAGAGTTTGAATGGGATAAAACGGGTACAAAAATGATAATATTCCATATAATCTCGAAGAGTCCACTAAATTTGAGGAGTTGAGGGGGTGGTTGTAATTATCCAAACAAGAGGGGTGTTTTTGTAATTTGACCATACCTAGGGGGTGTTTGTAATTTACCCTTATTAAAAAAACAAACAAAAGAAAACTGCAATATTTAATGATTTTTTGTTATTTTGTGGCTCTATTCATAGTTTACGTTGGCTCCACTACGGAAATTGAAAATTATGTTCCAACTTTCACCCGTAATTAGCACAAGCCCTCCTCGGTCATAATCAAAGGGCAACGAATTTGTTTTTAAAAAAACAGGACATACATTTAATTCACATGGGAAATATTTTATGAGCATATAGAAAATAAATGGTAGAGTCTCGTTTTTCGCCTTATCAGCCATCCCTAATTAGGAGAAACTTTGGAAAACAGGATAAGGTTTGAGACACACCAAAAGGGTGTATCTCACACTACATTCGTGGTACATCATCATAATTCATCGTCACATGAAATAAGAACCTACATTTTTTGGTGTAAGAGCGTGTTTGGCTAAGCTTATAAGCTATTAC